TAAAATGTAACCATAAATTTGTACTATATCAAAGATTAGGCTAATAAAAACCAACTGGCATTGTCGCCAAAAGTTCAAAAAAAAAAAAAAAAAAAAAAAAAAAAAAAATAAAAAAAAAAAACGATTGCATGTTGAATTTTCTTTTCACAGAAAATCTTGAATAAATTTTTGTATAAAATCTTAAATAAGTAAATAATGGATAACAATTTCTAGACTCTAATTCTATTTTGTAATATTAATAAAAAAATTGCATATTTTATTATCACAACCTTTGGTTCTGAAATTTTTTCTTTTAATATAATAATTTGATATTATATGAACCATAATGTATACTGCATATAAAAGAGCCTAAAAAAAAAAACAAAAAAAAAAACTGTGAATTCTATTTTATATTCATACCTTATTTTGTAATGCCAAAATCGTTACTTATTAAAAAGTTGTGACAGAAAAGAGCAGAAGTTGCTTGTTCTGCATGTGCTCTTGTTAATCTTAATTCAAGCGAAGAATACATTAATTCTGATAACAATTTAAATGAGAGTTCAGATAACAATTTTATGAAGCTAGATTGCTTTGATGAAATAAATTTGATTATCAAACAACTTCATGCAATTAAAAAAACAAGGCATCCTGCTGTTTATATTAGGAATTTCAAATGTATATAGCAAAGAAAAAATAAGATATTTAGAGAAGCAGCTATAGGAAATTTGAAAATTAACTATTTTTTTTTTAATACTCAATTACTAGCTATAAATAATGATGAGGGTTATGGGGACTTTTAAGACCAGGATGATTAGGTAGTAGAGCCTTTTTTTTTAAAAAAAAAAATCAAGATTTGATATTGAATTAATAATATTAGTAAATAATAGGATAAAAAAAAATTAGAAAAAATAGAAGAAATAAGAGTAATAGAAGAAATAGAAGAAGTAGAAGAAGAAAAAGTAGAAGAAAAATTAGACAAAGAATTGGACAAAAAAAAAAATTAGCAGTATGATTGAGTTTGTAAATGAAATAATGAATGATGAAACACTTTAAAGACTAAGGAAACCCATTATTTGGCAATTCTTTATTTCCTTAAATTGCATTTACAAGGTCAAATAAAAATAGAGGCATCAAAATGAGTTACAGATATTGTTAACAGTAAATCATGGCTTGCATAAAACATTAAAAATTGAGTGAACACTTGTATGAAAAAGAAGTTAATTTAACCAGATCTTTGAGAAAAATCATTTTCAAAAGCCTGCTTTATGATGAGTTGGTTTCTCTTCAGTTGGCCTCTTATCTATGCTCCCAAAAATTTAATATAAACTTTATTATAGTCAAAACTTATTTTGAACAACAAATCCTTCTCCAGTTGAACATTGAATTTATACAATATATTTTAGTTAGAACTATACATTGGTGGATGTACTAGCTTAGTTTTTGTTATTAACATTATCAGAAAGATATATATATAGACAGGCATGAGACTCTGATGTTGTCAAATATTATGAAACATTTCTTCAAAAAGTTGCCTAGCTTGAACCATTTATGTTTAAATAATAAAACTATTTTTTATGTTTATAATAGACCATATTCTGTATAGGACCAAAGGAAGAACAGCTATTGTGAAAAAAAAGGCTGAATTGTGCTATACATATAAGTGATTTCTTAACAGAAACTATAGGACTGCTTAAAGATAATCAAGAAAAAATATGTGTAATAATGATTGGATATCATTTTTAAATTTAGTTATTAATATTGTATTTGATGTTAATTTTTTATTTTTAAAATAAATAAATATTAAATTTTATTTTCTATAGATTATTTTGTTTAATTAAAATTGTTAGATTTTGGGTACCAATCAAGATAGTTACTAGGATTCTAAAAAACTTTTTAAACAAGTAAAATGGACAATTAATATTTTTGAGTAAACACATTTCAGATATATGGGTATATTTGCTTTTGACAATGCTACATCCCATAAAGCATTCTCTGAAGATGCTCTTATGGCTTCAAAAATGAATCTTGATTCAGATGGTTTGGCTTTGAAAATGCAAGAAACTGTGTAAAGTAGTGGCTGCCAGTTAATGATCATTGAAAATAATCATTTTATTTATAACAAAAAAAAACCCTCTATGTAAATTTGTGCAGACAGTCTAAAGGAATTCAATAGGTTCTTAGTAAAAGAGGTTTATGGCAGAATAGTATAATATTTGTATATATATCATGTAAAAAAAAAAGACAGATTCAAATATTATTGATTGTTATACATATAAGTTAATAACTAATTAGCCTGACTTTCTTGAACAATGCAGCCAAATTCAACAAGAAATTGAGTCTTATGAGTATAAAGTTATATTTTATTTCAAGTTTCATTCTAAGCTCAACTACATTAAAATGTACTAAAGGATGGCCAAGAAGTATATATGAACTAATTGTAAATATTCTCTTACAAAAACTAGAAAAATGACCATTCAGGCTTTTGACTCCATTTTCATAGAACAAATTTATGCTTTTGCCAGGCTGTTATATAGGTGAATAGATACTTACTGGCATGGATTGACAGGAGAAGCAGCTAAATATGCTATTAAAAAGCATAGGAGACATAGAACAATTAATGAAGAAGTAATGAATCTAGTCAATGAATTGTTAAACTAAAAAAAAAAAAAAAAAAAAAAAAAAAAAAAAAAAAAAAAAAAGTTTCCTTTTTTTTTTTCTTTGTTTTTTTAATTTTTTATCTTTTTTTTTTTTAAAAAAAAAATAATTATATTTTATT